ATGGGCAAGAAATGCTGGCCCAGCCAGCAACACCGACATCCCACAAATGAAGAAAAACAAAAGAATGATCCAAAGCACTTTACAGCTGATCAAATACTTTTGAAGTGTAATCACTTTTCCATGTGTTACTTCTGACTGGAGATTGTTGCAAATGCTTCAGCCTTATCTTTTGCACTGATGGGGTCTGGATGCAATGTTGAGGAAATTTGAGGTAACTCCTACCTGTCTGTAAGCCACTGTGCCTGGATGACTGTAATGTAATAATGGGTGCCTGAACTGCCAGCATCACATAATGGGCAAAATCCTCCATCACCATCGACGATATGGCGAGGTGAAACCATTGGGGATGTCTTTGATAGATTCACTGTCACCAGCTCTTCATACTGTTGTTAATCTGAGCCAATGACATCAGATAGAGAAGGATGGCCTCACAATGTGTGCAGGAGAAGATGGGGTCAAACTTGATAAACAGTAAAAGTTTATTTGTTAATACTTCATAGCTAGTTATATCACATCTGAGATACATAATTCACTCAAATCAGTCTCAACTATGAGGAAGTACACATTAGTACTGAAACAGCAACTGCAGTGCTTCAACAATGCAGCTCACCAAACCCTTCTCAAGGGCAACTAGGGATGGGCAATAAATGCTGGCATAGCCAGCAACGCCCATGTCCCGCAAGTGAATAAATAAAAAAAAACATTTTGGTACACATGAAACAACATGCTGCTCACTGAGCACAATAATTATTTCCTCCTCCTTTATATCACGAAGAACAGGGTTTATCTTGTGATGTCAGTTAATCCTTTTGTTGCCAACTGTCTTATGCAACAGGTTGCTGCCCCAACAATATTAAAGAAGTTTGATGCCATTCAGGGTAAAGCAGCCTGCTAGATTGGCACCTTGTACACTGTCTTAAATACTCACTCCCTCCAAAAGTGATGCAGTAGCAACAGTATGTACCAGCTGCAAGATACTCTGTGGCAACTCACCAAGGGTCCTCCAACAGCACTTTCCAAACCCATAACCCCTACCATTCAGAAGGATGAGCTCAGCAAATACATGGGAACTTCACGAACTGCAACTTGGCCTCCAAGCCACAAGTCATCCTGACTTAGAAATATGCTACAGTTCCTCCACTGGGTCAAAATTCTGGACCTGCTTTGCCTAAGAGCACAGTGGGTGCCCCTACACCACATGTTCTGCAGCAATTCAAGAAAGCAGACTGGCAATAGTTTCTCAAGGCAATTAGAGATGGACAATAAAAAGGGTGGCAAGGTAGCTCAGTGGTTAGCACTGCTGCCTCACAGCGCCAGGGACTTGGCTTCAATTCCACCCTCGGGTGGCCATCTGTGTGGAGTTTGCATATTCTCCCCGCGTCTGCGTGGGTTTCCTTTGGGTGCTCCGGTTTCCGCCCACACTCCAAAGATATGCAGGCTAGATGGGTTGACCATGATAAATTGCCCATAGTGTCCAGGGATGTTTGGGTTAGACATGGGAAATGCAGGGGTAGGGAGATGGGTCTGGGTGGGATGCTCTTTGGAGGGGCGGTGTGGATTTGTTGGGCTGAATGGTCCTGACCCAAAACATCAGCTTTCCTGCTCCTCTGATGCTGCCTGGCCTACTGTGTTATCTCTGACTCCAGCATTGGCAGTTCTTACTATCTCAGACGATAACAGCTGTGGTTTTGAGAGGTACCAAAGTCCTACCAGACCTCTGCCACATTACTGCATGCTGTGCAGCTTCTAACAATTGAAAACCAGTCACAGGAAGATCCAATTTCAAACAGGCAAACAAACTGTCTTCCCCTTTCATATTCTACTCAATTTCACTTCCCATTGATTTTTGGCCAGGAAGGTTGGATTAAATTTCAAAAAATGTTCTGAATAAAATTACTGCCAATCATGTTTCTTTTCATTTTGGAATCATTTTAGCAAGTTGTTGCCGCACTTATTGAATCCTTGAAGCAAAATTTAGGTTCCAAGCAATGACCAAAAGTCCAAAATGTATGAAGATGTTAAGTTAACTTGCGCCTTTCTAGTTTGATTAATTTTCATTGTTCACAAATTTATGGGATGCCCCTAAAAGAACTTTCACAATGATTTTGTGGATTTGAGCTAAGCAGAGACTTGTGGTGTTAGTACTTGTGACATATCGAAAAGGAACACGCGAAGGCCACTTAGCCCATCGAGCCTGCTCCGCCATTCAATAAGATCATGGCTGACCTGATTTTAACCTCAACTTTATGTTCCTGTATATCCACTGATAATTTTTCATCCCCTTGGTCATCAAGAATCTATCTACCTCTATCTTTAAAATATTGTCAGAAGTCACACAACATCAGGTTATAGTCCAACAGGTTTATTTAAAATCACAAGCTCTTGGTCCTCCAAAAGGCAGTGATTTTAAATAAACCCATTGCACTATAACCTGGTATTGCGTGACTTCTGACTTTGTCCACCCCAGTCCAACACCAGCATCTTCACATCATGACTACCTTCAAAATATTGAAAGTTTCTGCATCCACTGCATTTGGAGGAAGGGAATTCCAAAGACTCATAACCTTCTGAGAGGAAAGAATGTTTCCTCATCTTTGTTTTAAATGAGCGACCCCTTATTTTTAAACCCCTAGCCCAGACAGAACCCAATTACATTTAATTATGGAGAAGGTAGAAACATATGGAGAAACATTCAGCCCAACTGGTTGAGGCAAGTGATGTTTCAGTCCACCCCATCTCACCTAGTCAAATCAATCTTTTCTTCCATTCCTTTACCTTCACACTTCTCTATTGCCATTCCCTCGACAAATCATTATTGTAGCAAAATGCATATTTTTAACCGCTTACTGAGTACTTTTTCTGGAATCCTTTACAGGATTTCTTATATCTTTGATTCAGGACCTGTGGTTTTGATTTCTGCTAACAATGGAAATATCTTCTTTACAACTACCCGATCAATCCTATCATAATCTGATAGAAAAGAGCCTCGTCCTATTCATTCTTCCCTGATCATTACAGCTCTGTCTTTATGTATCATTCCTTTTAAATCTTGCTAGCCCATTTACCAGTGTCTCTATATCCTTTGTCTAACATAGAGAATAGAGATTTTCACATTACTATAATTTTGTTTGAATCAAGATTGTTTAGGCTGGATTTTGATTTCTCCATTGTTTGTAAGGTAGGTAGGGATTTGTAGAGGCTGTAACTGGGACATGATACATACAAGATTCTGAGGGACTTTGGTGGACTAGTTGTGGAGAAGACTTTTCCAGTTGTGGGGAAGTTTCAAACTGGGGGACATAGTTACAGAATAAAAGTGAACATCTAGAATTCTCTACCCTACAGAGTTGTGGAGGCTAGATCTTTGAAAGAGTTTAAAGAGGAGATCGATAGATTTTTCTGAAATATTAATGTCTTCAGGGGTATAAGCAGCTGGAACAAAAGAGGAATTGAACCTTGGGCAGATCAGCTGTGATTCTACACAATGACAGGACAGGCTTGACAGCCCGAATGGCCTACTTCTGTTCCTATTTCTCAATGGGAAACTTCTACAGTGGGTTTTCCTCACATTCAATCTTTCCTCTGGAGGTAGTTCTGAGATTCCTTGTGCAGTAACGTTCTGACTCACGGTAGTGGTTGAGTTCGCAATTCAACTTCCTTGGCGACAATAATTGCTTAAGGCAGGGCTCATAAACTCTCAAGGAAAAGCTGAGCACAAAGCACGTAGACAGGATGGCAATGAAGGTGTTTGGTATGCTTGCCTTTCTTGTTCATTGCATTGAGTATAGGAGTTAGGAGGTCATGTTTCGGCTGAACAGGACATTGGTCAGGCTAGTTTTGGAATACTGCATTCAATTCTGGTCTCCCTGCTATTGGAAAGTTGTTGTGAAACTTGAAAGGGTTCAGAGAATATTTACAAGGATGTTGCCAGAATTAGAGGGTTTGAACCAAAGGGAGAGGCGGAGTTGGCTGGATCTACTTTGCCTGGAGCATCGGAGGCTGAAGGGTGGCCTTATATAAGTTTATTAAATCATGACGGGCATGGATAGGGTAAATATTGAAGGTCTTTTCCCAAGGGCATAGGTTTAAAGTGAGAGGGGAAAGATTTAAAAGGGACTTAAGGGACAACTTTTTCATGCAGAGCGTGGTGCATGTATACCAGAGAAGGTGTTGGAAGCGGGCACAATTACAACATTTAAAAGGCATCTGGATGTGTTTATGACCTGGAAGGGTTTAAAGAGATATGGGTCGAATGCTGGCAAATGGGACTAGATAAATGTAGAATATCTGATCGGCATGGACGAATCAGACTGAAGGGTCGATGTTGTCTATTTCTATGACTGTAAGTTCACAATTTAACTTCACCTTTTGTAACATCAATTCCTTGTTATGCTCAGCTTATATATAATATATAAGCTGAGCATAAGTCTGAATGGGCTACAAAGCATCTTATTGCTTTTGTTCTTGGATTTGCAAAACTCTGCACAAAAATGGCATATAATTCCAAGTTATGCTGAAAAGATTTGACTTGAATTTTCTGTCGATTGAACACAAATGATGCACTCAATGGGGCATTCTCGAATTACATGTTAAAAAAGAAGTTGGTTTTGTATTTTGAATGCTAAAGCAAAAAAGATAACAGCGATTCTCTGACATGTAGGACACTCGTACAAAATCTACATCACTGAAACCCACACAGGGCAATGGTGCCAAACTCTTGTGCCAAGTGTGGCACAGAGAGATTGCAAATCAACTTTTAGAATTGGGAAGCTATCTCCACTCAAAATCTCCTGCGCTGTCACTGATCAAAGATCATGTTTATTGACTGAGATTTAGTACTTGCAAAGGAAAAAAAACACACTTTTTCCTTCACTAACATGAAGTTAAACCAATCTGATGGAAAACTGATTGGTCATAGGACAGGGCACATGTGGTCACATGCATTGCCCATTTGCTATAAAGGGCAGAAAGAGAGACGCCTGCCGCATTTGAGATTTACTATGAGGGGAATTATTTTTGCGCTGACCTTCACTCTTGTGGGTAAGTTTGCAATGCCTTTTCCAATAGATTTGAAAGAGTGTGCAGAGAAGATTTACCGAAATGATAAAAATGTGGGATGTCAGGTTTGAGCTCAAAACAGAGACACTCGAATTGACCTCCTTAGATTTATGGGAGATTTGAAGTGAACGAATTTATGAAGGGCTTCGGTAGAGTAATTAAGGAGAACTGTTTCTCTCAATGGGAGAGTTGGTAAATTGAGAAAGCAACTTTTACAGAATTGACAAAATAACAAGAGATAAGGTGAGGAGAATTTTTTTTAACAGAGAAATGATAGAGTGTGGTACACATTTGGAACTGGTGGCAGTAGTAGCTTCAGTTGCAATGTTCAATAAGAAATCAAACAAAAATTTGGAAAGGAATATGTTCACACAGTTTCAGAGACAGAATAGAGGAGTGGAATTAGCCCTTTCCAAGAGTAAGCAAGGCACAATGGGCATAATACTCTTTGTAAGGGTTAACAGATTTAAAACAGAGATGAGGAGAAATTACTTATCTCGAAGGATCATAATTTTGTGGAATTCACAACCCCAGAGTGCAGTGGGTTCTGGGACCCTGAACAAATTTAAGGAGAATATAGACAGATTTTTAATTAGTAATGGGTTGAGGATAGTTAAGGGTTGAAGGATTAAGGAGAGCAGGCAGTAAAGTGAAGCCAAGATGAGATCAGTCATAATCATTTCGAACTGTGGAACAGGCTCAAGGAGCTGAATTTCTGACTGCTGTCCCTAGTTCTTATATTGTTATGAACAAAAACAAAGTTGCTGGAAAAGCTCAGCAGGTCTGGCAGCATCTGTGAAGGAAAAAACAAAGTTAATGTTTGGTCACTGGACCCGAAATATTAACTCTGTTTTTTCCTAAGAAGATGCTGCCAGACCTGCTGAGCTTTTCCAGCAACTTTGTTTTTGTTCCTGATTTACAGCATCCACAGTTCTTTTGGTTTTTGTGTTGTTATGTCCCTATGTACTGTTAATGTCAATGATTCTATGAACATATCCAATTTAATGAGAATTATTCCAGCAGAAAAAAAAACAACTCTTTCTGATTTGGCTTTCCTTATTTTCCCGCAGGGGGCCAACACTATGGTAAGAATATATTTTTCTTCTGGATTTCAAATGACTAAAGATTTTTGGGTGTTGCTGCAGGCACCTCCCATTCTTAAACTGTCTCTAACTACCTTTACTCACAGATCCTTCTTTCAGTAAAAGCAAGACATACATTTACCAGTATGAAGGGATTGTACTGACAGGACTACCAGAACATGGCTTAGCTAAGGGAGGCCTTCAGATAACCAGCAAAGTGCAAATTAATTCAATTGGACAAAAGATCCATCTTCTGAAGGTAAGAAGTATTTGGATAATTGAAGAATAATTAACTAACATAAAGAGCGCTTGAAATGTCATAACTATTGGCCGAGGGGTAATTGGGATTAGCGTACATCGGTTGGCACAGATTTGATGGGCCAAAGGGCCTCTTCTGTTCTGTATGACTCTGAGTTAATTTTTGCCAAAATAGGAGGATAGATTTTCTGATTAAGCACTGTTATTGAAAATTATGGTTTACCCAACACTTCCTACCATATGATTCTCTGCAGGGGCCTTCCCCTCAGACCAATTAACATGAGAGTGGGTCAACAGAGCACAGGGAATCCTAGTAACTTAGATTAGGCTTGACAGCCTCTTGGTGCAGGGGTGGTGGAAGCAAGAGAAAGCAGATTAATAATCAGTGAAGCAAATTTCTCAGAAAGTGGCTAGACCAGCCTTTCTTGACTATCCTTAACTGCCATGTATAAGGTGGGGGTTGAACTGCCTTCTTAAACTTCTGCAGTCCATGTGGTTTAGGTATGGAAAATTGATGGAATAAAATAAAATGGAATTCAGGAGGGCAGGTCTGATTTCAAATCAGAAATTCTAATTTAACAATTTTGCTTCAGTCAGTCGTATAATTGGGTAAGAGGAAGGGCCTGGGAAGAGAATCCAACCTTTCTCCTTTTGTAACTCTGAAATTTGAAATGTTAGCACACTCTTTTCTTATGCCTACAGCATATTCTTAGAATTTTCTGATCTTACTTCAGCCTTCTGGCACATGCAGTTTCTTTTTATCATTATTGTAAATTAGTCCATCCATATGTAAGTAATATCTAGTTGTAATTGTCATTGGTAGTTGCCAAATTTTGCCAAAACAAAGATGCCATTTTTAACTTGTTGCATAGGCATCGATCTGCTGACTAACAACCACTCAATGGAAAACACAATTTATCATTCCCTTTAATGTTATTTGTGTTCACTCATTGGAGTTGCTGCTAGCTAGCATTTATTGCCCATCCCTAGTTGCCCTTGAGAAGGTGGTGGTGAGTGGCTTGCTAGTCCATTTCAGAGGGTAGTTGAGAGTTAGCCATATTGCAATGGATCTGAAGTCACACGTAGACCAGACCAGATAAGGATGGCAGATTTGCCTCCCTGAAAGACATTAGTGAACCAAATGGGGTTTTTCCCTGCCAATCAACAATGGTTTCATGATCATTCTAATTCTAGTTTTTTTTTATTGAATTCAAATTCCACCATCTCCTGTGGCAGAACCTGGGTTCCCAGAACATTAGCTGAGTTTTTGAATTAATAGTCCAGCATAATACCACCAGGCCATTGCTTCCCCTCTTACAATGTACATGTAAATGAGGCAATTGCTATAGCAATTCACAAAAGTAGTGTAAAGCCTGAAAGGGATGTTTAAAATCTTGTAATGTGACATCTTCTCAGCTATTTTAAATCATCATTAGATTCATACATGTCTTTGATAAATCTGTACAAATGCATTTTAGAGGATCATAGATTCTGAGAACTCTAAAAAATACCATTCAGTCCAAAACTAACACTTTGACAGAACTCGCCAATTGGTTCACTCCCCTTACTCTGTACCCATAGCCCTACATATGTTTTCCGTTTCAAGATTATAATTGAACTTGTTACTATCACTATTTCAGGCAGTGCATGCCAGATTACAGCAATCCGCTATACAAAAATATGCACATTTCCACCTCCCGCACACTAGGTTCTTTTCCCAATTTTCTTAAATCTGTTCTGAAGGAGGGTCTCTGGACCCAAAATGTTAACTCTGTCTTCGTTCCACAGATGCTGCCAGACCTGGTGAGTTTTTCCAGCAACTTCTGAGGAGAACAATGCCAGCTTTTCCAGTGCCTCGATACAATTCTTGGTATCATTTACTAATGTCCCTAACGTTCATGTCACTAATGCCCTTTAAGGAAGGAAAATGCCATCCTTACCTGGTCTGACCTACACATGACTTCAGACCCCCAGCAATGCAGTTGACGCTTAGCTACACACCAGGCAATTAGGGATGAGCAATAAATGCTGGCCTAGCCAATAGTGTTCACTTTTCATAAACAAATTAAAAAATTGCATGTCAACCCCCTTTGTTCTCCTCAATCTCCTTTACACCTTTCCTAAAGAGTATCCCCCTAAAAAATATCCCAAACTGACCCACTGAAAAATGGCCAGAGATTTTTAGAGTTTATTTCTTTCAAGCAGGTTTTTATCTCATCTGTGCATTTCCAAAGCTGCAGCTTGTAACAAGGCTGTAGACTACGAATGGCTCTATCTCCGACTGCAGTAAGTTTCAAAACAAAATGTTGCTGTTTGTTATCTATAGATCACGGGAAACAGCTACAAATCATAGTACAACAGGCATGGTGCCCAATGTCTCAACAGGAACCCTTAACCAGGGCAAGTTCCATCACTAATGTGCACAAAGATATTAAATATTTTTGTTCAAAGCTGCTTCCTAGAAAACCCGATAATGTCCAAGATCACTAAGACTTTTCAGATATCCTTGGTTCATGGGTCACAAGCTGCCAAAATTTGTCCTTTTTGCATCCGTACCAAAGACCCCACTATCAAAGTGCACATCAAGGACCAATTCTTCCCCTTGTTTAATGATAAACTTTTCTCTTGATACAAATTTGCAACACAAGTACTGTAACGGACACGTTGCTGGCTCATCTCACAATACAACTGCTACCAGAGGTATGGAGCCATGAATAAAACTGTCTGTCATACATACTGTTGATTCGTCACGCCCCATGGCAATCCAATTTTTAACAATCCAATATAACCCAACTCTTAAAAATATAGGTCAATGGTCTCTGAAAACCAATAACATTTTCGTTGACAACAGTAACTCTTTGCTCTTCCACCCTTAAGATGATCTCACCTCGAATTGAAGAATACAGCAGGGTTTGGCCAAGTGCTCAATTTATCCCAGCTCGGAAACTGACTCAAAAGTTGGCCGCACAATTGAACAAGCCGATAAAGTTTGAATACAGCCACGGACGGGTTGGAAATATATACGCCCAGCCAGAGCTGTCTGAAAACATCCTCAACATCTACAGGGGTATTCTCAACATGTTACAAATCAGCATTAAAAAGTCACAGAACATCTACGAATTGCAAGAGGTACATCGATTTTTCTCAAAGTGATGTTCATTCTTGAGACGTTTGTGCCACTGGTAGAGCCTTGTATTTAATGCCCATCCCAAGAAAAGTTGGCAGTGAGCCATCTTCATGAACTGCTCCAGACCATGTGGTGAATTTGCTTCGACAGCAACATGTGGTTACAAATTCTAGGATTTTGACGCAGTCTCAAGAAAGAAACACCAATATATATCCGAGTCAGCATGGGTACAGAACTGGAAAAGTAACCAGGTGTTCCATGCTTCTCCTGCCCTTGTCCTACTGGGTGGGGCAGCCAAGATGGCAGTGTTGATGTTGAGAAAGCCTTGGTGACTTGCTGCAGTGCATCCAGTAGTTAGATAAAGTCGCCATAATCCCAGAGGGACTTGGACTGCTCTCTCATTAGAGCGAGATGAAGAGTGGTGAGTTTAAATGGAGGGTCACCACACCTCAGGTGAGGGGCAAGGTCAAGGAAGTGGGTCCTTCATGATGGCCTCAGCCAGTACAGAAACTGAACCCACGCTGTTGGCGTCACTCTGTTTCACAAACCAGCTGACCAGCCAACTAAGCTAACTGACCTTTACTAAGGTCAATGCACACAGTAGCCACAGTACATCAGGACTGTGCTTGATTGGCAGCCCAGCACTCGCACATACTTTCAGAGTGCTTTATTCCTGCTGCCTGAGTGTCACTGGACTGCTCTCTTTTAGGCAATTGGAGGTGATCTATTTGTTCCTCACTTTGGCCTCGTCGATGGTGCAGGGGCTTCTGGTGGTCAGCGGATGACTTACTCCCTATATATAACACTCAGCCTTGGAGCATCTCTGCTCACCATTGAGAAGATAGTGCTGAGTTGGACATCTAAGGTGGTGAAGTTAGTCATCAGGCAGAGGTTCCAGCATTTTGAATGAGTGACAGTGAAGGAACAGCAAGATAATTCTAAAATCAGGCTGAGGTGTGGCTTGGAGGGAGGAGCGTTTGAAGGGGCCCCTCTGCTGTCTTCATCCTTCAGATTGGTAGAGTTTTGCCGATTATGGAATTGATAATGTCGACCCTATTAATTTCATGTTGTACTACACACGTACTGATCCAGTCTGCATTTATGTCTAGAATGGTGTAGAAGGCATCTGCCATGCAAGCTATGTAATTCAGGAGAACAAGAAAAGTGGAGTGGTCATGGTCACAAAATCCAAGGATCTGAACAACTGTCAGGAGAAAATCTCAGAGACTAAGGGTTCTGCTTATACTCAGTTATGTGAGACCTGCCAGCAGGTATATGCATAAATTACATTTCTATTTAAAAATGAAATAAATAAAGAAATGTTTAAGACCAATGTCATAGCTTGATAGTTGTGGGTTCGACATTTAAGATGAGAGGGGAAATAATTTAAAGGAACCTAAGGGAAAACATTTTCACACAGAGGGTGGTGTGTGTGTGTGGAATGAGCTGCCGGAGGAAGTGGCAGAGTCTGGTACGATTACAACATTTAAAAGACACCTGGACGGGTATATGAATAGGAAGAGTTTAGAGGGATATGGACCAAGTGCTGGCAAATGGGACTAAATTAATTTAGAATATCTGGTCGGCATGGACAAGTTGGACCAAAGAGTCTGTTTCTGTGCTGTACATCTCTATGTCTCTATGCCCTCTCAGTTAGCCATTCAGGGCATTGTTTCAAAAGACAGCAGGTGATTTGTCCTTAATGTCAGCGAATCATATCATAGAATCCCTACAGTGCAGAAAGGGGCCATTCGGCCCATTGAGTCTGCACCAACCCTCCGAGAAGCATCCCACCCAGACCCAACCCCCGTACCCAATCCCAATAACCCTACGTCTTGTCCAATTTTCATCCCTCAATTAATTAACATCACAAAAACAGATTGTCTGAAAATTACGGTTTGTGGGAGCTTGCTGTGCACTGATCAGACAATTGCATTTTGCACCATGACTACACTTTATTGAGTATCAAATTCTTTGGGACAGAATCCCAAGGATGCTATACAAATCCACATTGTTTCTTCCTTTCTCAATTCAATGGTAATAGTAGTCTCCCAAAAATGCATCCTAAAGCACTACTCAATGAAGAACAAAGAATTCCCCCAATGTCTTTTAAAAATTGATCACTTTCAGAAGAGACCAAAAACTGATCATACCATCATCTTCTGTGGGAGATTGTTTCCCTACCTTCCAGATGTGACTGCATGTCAAAATAACCCATTGACCTCAAAGCACTTTCGGGTGCCCTAAAATTGTGAAAAATTGAATAAAAATGGGAACTTTTCAAAGCAGTATCTTAAAATCCATTTTCTCAAGTTGTAGAATTCTTCACATGCCTGTCTGTTTCCTGTGACAGACTCTAGGTTTTAAATCCAAGATCAGCATCTTATTGCTGCATTCTGAGGGTGGCTTGGATGCTCAGTGGTTACTACTGCCTCACAGAGCCAGAGTCCTGGGTTTGATTTCAGCCTTGCGTGACTGTGTGGAGTTTGCACATTCTCCCTTTGTGTCAGCGTGGGTTTCCTCTGGGTACTCTGGTTTCCTCCCATATTCGAAAGATGTGCAGGTTAGGTAGATTGGCCATGCTAAATTGCCCACAGTGTCCAGGCATGTGCAGATTAGGTGAATTAGCCATGGGAAATGCAGGGCCATGCGGACAGGACTGGGTCTGGATAGGATGCTCTTCAGAGGGTCATTGTGGACTTGATGGACCAAATGACCTGCTTCCATACAGGAGGATTCTATGATTCCCTCTTAAACAACAATGGTCTCGTCTGTCATGAGCATTGATCCCTATCAGCAGAAATTATGTGCTAAGTATTTCACACCTCTATGTAATATTTGTCTGTCATGCTTTAACCATTTGACCAAACCATACCTTTCCCTTAAAACTGTCACTTTAATATTCCTGTCACACTCTGCAAAGGAATTAATTCATTCCTGCACAGCTCTACATAGAGATCATTCTAATTCTGCTCTCTAGCGTAAAACAGGTGACAGGAAATTGGTATCACATGTTTTCCTCCCTTTTTTTTATTTATGTTGAAGTCAATGGAAGTATTCTTCACATCACCGCACAGTCAATCATGATTCAAAGCTAAGAGAATGCAGGTCTCTTTTTCAACGGTTGCCTTATAATCTTCAAAATTGACTTAGCCTTACCAAGACAATGGACAATGGGGGTAAGTGGCACCCGAGATTGCAAGCAAACATAGAGACAGATGGAATTGGGGACAAACTTTTGCAATGAGGTTTTGGAGCTTTTAGCAAGGGCTGGAAGGAGAGAGCTATGCTTTAGGATTGTGCAGATAAACGCAACATTTCCTAAAAGTGATAAGGCTGTATCATGTTCTGATCAAAGTGTTCAAATGACTAAAGGAATTGGCAGGGCCAACTGTTCTCCATGTTAAGAAAATCCCTCCAGGTTCAGGATCCAAGTATTTCAATTAAGCTTAATGCTCAGTGCAAATCCAAGAAAAATAAATTAGCGTGGAGAGTTGAACAGAAGGCATGAATGTACATGAAGAAGAAAGTAATTGGAAGGAAATGGATCCATCTGCCATAATGTGTAAAAAATAGCTAATCTGTGTTCAATCTGTGTTTTTAAACTCTCTTGGACCTGCATGTGCATCCTATAACCAAATCATAGGAAGATGAGGAAATCATTAAGCAGTCAAGCCTGTTCCTCCATTCAGTTAAATCCTGGTTGATCTACAACTAACTCCACATTTCAGTTTTTGCCTGCCACCTATCGCACTTTTGGTTCATTGATTTCTATTAAGCTTAAATTTAAGAATAACTTTTGGCAAGGATCAACTTCCATTTGTGGATGAAATTTCCAAAGTTCTATCAGTCTGTGTGTGTAAAAGTGCTTCTTAATTTCATTCCTGAAAGGCCTGGCTCTAATTCATCAAAATACATCTCATACTCCTAGACTCCTCAGTGTGTGGATACAGTTTCTGCCCATCTATCTTATCTGCCCCCCTCAATCTCTTGAACCTTTCATTCATATCGTCCCTTAAACCTTCTATGTTCTAGGGTCTATACCAAAGATTGTACAATCCCACCTTGTGACTTAACCTGTGAAGTTCATGGATCATTCTGGTAATCATCACTGCTTTTCTAATATATAGAGCCCATTATAGCCCATGATACTCCAAGTGTAGAGCTTAGTATAGTTAGACCATAAGACCATAAGACATAGGAGCAGAAATTAGATCATTCGACCCATCGAGTCTGCTCCGCCATTCAATCATGGCTGATAAGTTCCTCAACCCCATTCTCCCACTTTCTCCCCATAACCCTTGATCCCCTTGACAATCAAGAACATATCTATCTCCGTCTTAAATATACTCAATGACCTGGCCTCCACAGCCTTCTGTGGCAGTGAATTCCATAGATTCACCACTCTCTGGCTGAAGAAGTTTCTCCTTATCTCCATTTTAAAAGGTCTTCCCTTTACTCTAAGGCTGTGGTCTGGGGTTCTAGACTCTTTTGCCAGTGGGAACATCTCCCCAACATTCATCCTGCCCAGGCCATTCAGTGTTCTGTAAATTCCAATTAGATCCCCTCCCACACTACTAAACTCCATTGAGCATAGACCAGAGTCCTCAAACGTTCCCCATAAGTTAAGCCTTTCATTCCTGGGACCATTCTCGTGAACCTCCTCTGGACCCGCTCCAGGGCCAGTGCATCCTTCCAGAAGTGGGGGGCCAAAACTGCATACCATACTCTAAATGTGGTCTGATCAGAGCTTTATAAGGCCTCAGAAGTACATCCCTGCTTTTATATTCTAGCCGTCTCAAAATAAATGTCAACATTGTATTTGCCTTTCTAACTACCAACTCAACCTGCAAGTTTACCTTAAGAGAATCCTGGACTAGGACTCCCAAGCCCCTTTGCACTTCAGACTTCTGAATGTTCTCCCCATTTAGAAAATAGCCCATGCTTCTATTCATTGAAACATGATATCTACCCTCTTGTATTCTATTGCTCTAAAATTAAAAGCTAAAATTTCATTAGCTTTTTTGGTTATTTTCTGTAGGTATTCATCACATTTTAATGATCTATGTACTTGGACCCCCAACACTCTCTGGACCTCCACTACTTCTAAGTTTTCAACAGTTGTATAGTACCTTGTTCCTTCTTTGTAGGTCCACAGAGGATTACCTTCCATTTGTCTACATTGAAATCTATCTATCCCAGAATCAATAGCAGTAATATTGAAACTGTATTGTTATTCTTTCCTGTTGGTGAAAGGGTATTTAGACAGTGTCTGATAAATTTTCATCTTCACTGTTACAGATGGCATTGTTTTCTTTGGCTTCCATGGGATGTCAGCAATGCTGGCAAGGCCAGAATTATTTGGCAGTCCCCAATTGCTCTTGAACAAAGTGAAGGCTACTTCAGATGGCAGTTAAGAGTCAGTACATTGCTGTAAATCTGGAGTCTCATGGAGATCAGACCAGTTAAGAAGGACAGAAATTCCTCCTGAGAGAGCATGAATGAACCAGATGGGTTTTTATAGCAGTCAATGATCATTAACATCACTGAGGCTAATCTTCAATGCCACACTTACACATTTGCATTAAATTCTACTGATTGCCATGGTGTCTGTGTCCCCAGAGCATTAGCCTGGAACTCTGGTTTTATTAGGCCATTAGAAATAAGAACAGGAGTAGGCCCTTCAGTTCCTTGAGCCTGCTCCACCTTTCAACCAGATCATGGCTGATCCGAGATTCCTTACGTTCACTTTCCTGCCCTCTCCCTGTCACCCTTAATTCCCGTACTAATCAAGAACCTATCTGTCTCAGACTTAAATATACACAAGAACTCTGCCCCCACAGGTCTCTGTGGCAAGGAGTTCCAAAGACTCTCAACCCTCTGAGAAAATAAATTTCTCCTCATCTCAGCCTTAAATTTATGCTGCTTTATTCTAAACTCACCTGTGAAGGGATATGTCCTCTTAATATTTACCCTGTCAAGCCCCTTAACAATCCCTTATGTATCAATGAGACTACCTCTTGCTTTTCTAAACTCCAATGAGTTCTGCGGAAGGGTCACTGGACCCGAAACGTTAAGTCTGATTTCTTTTCACAGATGCTGCCAGACCTGCTGAGCTTTTCCGGCAAGTTCTGTTTTTGTTTCTGATTGACAGCTTCCGTAGATCTTTCGTATTTTAATCAATGAGTCCCATCCTGGTCCAGTGATGCTAATACTTCTTCTTTATTCACGGGACGTGGGTGTCGCTGGCTAGGCCAGCATTTGTTATCCATCCCTAACTGTCCAGAGAGAAGTTAAGAGTCAATAACATGGCTGTCACATGTAGGCCAGGTAAGGATGGCAGTTTCCTTCCCTAAAGGACATTAGTGAACCAGATGGGTGTTTCTCGACAATTGACAATGGATTCATTGTCTTCATTAGACTCTTCCATTTTTGTTTTAAATTGAATTAAAATTATACCATGTGCCATGGCAGGATTCAAACCCAGGCCTCCAGAACATTACCTGGGTCTCTGGATTAACAGGCCAGTGATAATACCACTAGGCCATCACCTCCTCCACCACTGTTGCCCTTCAATGAAGTCTCACAACCCTTCAATGTTCATTGCAACTTTCAATTACATGAAAATGGTCTTGAATTCTATAATAGGCCATTGACCCATTTGGCTAGATAACCACCTGATGAAAATATACTCCAGTTACCGTAATGCAAATGCAAAGGAATTTCAGAAATGGCAACTATAATCAGATGTTCTCTTGTCGTCTTATAATGCAGAAAGGCAGGAACCTGAGGAGTGTCTCCACCTACTCCTACGCCATAAAAGGCACAGCAGATGGTGCGGTGATAATTGAAGTTGTAAGTAAAGAGACACATCAGTTCACACCGTTTAATGAACTTGATGGGGCTGCCAGCACAGAATCGAGGTAATTCTTCTTGCAACTACGAGTGTCTGCACCAAATTCTAAACTTTGTAAGTGTACAGTTGGTACTGAAAACAACAAATGCTGGAAATCACAGCGGGTCAGGCAATATCCATGGAGAGAGAGAGAGAGCAAGCTAACATTTGACTCTTCATCACAGCTGAAGTAAAGTGCAGAGGGAGAAGCATTTATGCAATAGTGGGGGGGTAGGGGTGTGTGTCGGGGGTGAAAGGATGTTGATAGTTTAGATTAAGAGATCAGAATTTGAGAAGGACAGAAAATGGTGGGTCTAACTGCCAGACTGGAAAGAACAGACAGTCCCACTGGGGTAGGAGGAGGGGAGAGATGACACAGTAACAGAGAATGTAATAAGAAAAGCTAAAAGAAAGGGAAGGAATGGTTTGCAACCTGAAGGTGTTTAACTCAGTATCAAGTCCAGTAGGCTGTAAAGTGCCTAGTCTGGAGATGAGATGTTGTCCCTCCAGTTTGTTTATGATCCACTGGAACACTGCAGCATGCCAAGGGCAGACACAAGGACATGTGAGCTGGACACTGTTTTAAAATGACCAGCTACGGGAAGGTCAGGGTCCTGCTTGCACACAGACCCAGAGGTGTTCTGCAAAGCTGTCATCCAGTCTGCGTTTGATTTCTCCAATGTAGAGTAGGCCGCATTAGATACAGTGAATACAACACACAAGGTTGGAGGAGGTACATGTGAAATGCTGCTTCACCTGGAAAGACTGTTTAGGCCCTTGGATGGTGAGCAGGGAGGAGGTGAAGGGGCAGGTGTTGCACCTTCTGCAGTTTCATGGGAATGTGCCATGGGGAAGGGGGGGTTTGGTGTTGGTGGTTCTGGAATGGATTAGGGTGTCCCGGAGGGAAAAGTTCCTGTGAAATGTAGTTGGGGGAGCGAGGGGAAGATGTGTTTGGTGGTAGCGTTCTGCTGGAGTTGTCTGAAATGTGAAGAATGACTCGTTGCATGCGGAGGCTGGTGGGATGAAAAGTGAGGACAAGGGGGACCTGATCACGTTGTTGTGAGTGATGGGAAGGGGTAAGAGTGGAAGCACGGGTGATAGGTCGGATGCAGTTGAGGGCTCTGTCACCCACAGTGGGTGGGAAACCATGGTTATGGAAGATGGAAGCCATGTCAGCAGCACTGTTTTTGGAAGGAAGTGTCATCCAAATGGTTACAACTGGGAGAACGGAATGGAATCTCTGCAGAATGTGGGGTATGAAGAGCTGTAGTAAGGGTAGCTGTGGGAGCCAGTGGCTTTGTAGTGGATGGCAGTGGACAGTTTATTCCCCGAAATGGAGACAGAGAAGGCAAGGAAAGGAGGGGAGGTATCAGAATTGGACATTGTGAAAGTTTTAGAGGGGTGGAAATTGGAGGCAAAATGAACAAATTTTTCACGGTTCAGGCAGGAGCATGAAGTGGCACCGAAGCAGTCATCGATGTAATAAGAAAGAAGTTGTGGGAGGAGGCCAGTGTAGGACTGGATCAAAGATTGTTCCACATACCCCATAAAGAGACAGACATAACTGGGACCCATGTGGATGCCCATAGCCACTCCTTTGACTCGGCAGAAGTGAGATGAATTAAAAGAGAAATTGTTCAATGAGAGAACAAGTTCAGCCAGGCAGAGGAGAGTGGTGATAGATGAGTATTGTTCAAGGCTCTGGTCAAGGAAGAAGCTGAGAGCTTTAGACTATCCTGGTGGGGAATGGAGGTATAAAGGGATTCTACATCCACTGTGAAGAGGAGGCACTTAAGGCCAGGGAACTGGAAATTGCCCATTTGGTGGAGGGTGTCAGAGGAATTGCAGATGTAAATGGGCAGAGTCTGGACAAGTGGAGAGAAGATAGGGTCAAGGTAGGGGCAAATGAGCTCAGTGAGGCAGGAACAGGTTGATACAATGGGCCTAATGGGACAGTCTGGTTTGTGGATTTTGGGAGGTAGAAGCAGGCTGTCCAGGTTTGGGAGACTATAAGATTGGAGCCAGTGGAGGAAAGATCTCTGGAGGTAATGAGGTTGGTGCCAGTATATTTGGTTTCTTCCCTGCAAGTTATTTGTCCACTTACCAGTGATCTCCTCTCGTTATCACCTGAAGGTATTACTTCAGGCTGTGCTAGATCAGGTATCTTCTGGGACCTACTCAAAGTAGCTTTCCCTCTCTTATAGCTCTAGACAGCAGGTTTTGCAAGGCTGTTAGTCCTCACAACCCAAACTGTCCTTAACTTCACTCAGCTTCATCAGGATGGATAATCGTGCACGTCATTGGGATGTGCCAATCTGTGGGATGAGGCCATTTACTGGTAGCCAGAGGCTACAGCTCCATCCACCCCCACCTGCCAACTTTCCTGAACCTGCAAACTCTCAGCTCAGTTGTAGCACTTCCTAAGATCAGCTCAGAAACCTTAATAAATCAGTCATTAGCTTGGTTTGGAGCATGGTGTCCATTTCTGGGTGCTGCACGTCAGAAGGGATTTCAAGGCCAGAAGTTTACTCAAACTTCAGCTATGTGGAGGGACTAAAGAAGCTTGTATTTGAAAGATGTTAAGCAGGGATTGAGTACGAAGTCTTATGGTGCAGTAAGTAACATCACTCTCTCTGGAACAGGCCTGGTAATCGTGGAGGGTGCATTCATAATGTGGTTAAGTATCCACTGTGACTCCTATCAATTTTCTTGATAGCAGGGGGTATTTGTCGGGGAGTTTGCTGATCAGCCATTCTGCAGAAAGCAACAGCAAATTACTGTAGCTCTTTAGCCGTAAGTATGGACTAATCAGATGGAGGTCCATAGATCAACCCTCAGAAACAAGGATGGGTGCAATGACCAACAGACAAGGGATATTAAATGAGAGCATTCAAAATTACAAAGGACTTTGATAGAATAATTAATGACTAGCTTTCTAATGAAGTCAGCAGTCAGCAGAGCTGACGCTTAATTATTGTGCATTTTGTTTTCAGTTTTGGATATATATATATATATATATATATAATAACAGCTGCTGTTGTATAACTATCCAAGGTTTAATTTCTATTGATGTCGAGGAAAAGTCACACAATCTCTCTGTGCCTCAACCACAAAACAGGTGAAGTCCTAAAACACACGAGAGTGCTACAGATGTATCCCTCATTGTCTAAGCCCTGCTTATGTTGAGCCTTCTGCTTCCATATACCTTAGCAATGTCAGGTTTGACAATGGGCTCTTTCCTGTTATTAACAGAAGGATGCACTCCTACCTGCTCCTTCAGGGCCAGGTTTATTGGGATAATCCCACAAGTTTGCATCATTTACCAATGAGGTCTGTCAATTACAGCAGAGAATTGAAGTTTGTTGCTGTCAGTACATGCTTTACTGCATAGTTGCTCAATGTTTCTCTTCACATGGATTATATTCTGCTAACAATTTATTTTTGGTTTCGGAAACAGACAACATCTTGTCTTGCTAGAGAGCAAAAATCAGTCACCAGCCGCGCCAACTGAGCACCTGGAGAAGCGAGGCACCCTGAAATATCAGCTTTCTAATGAACTGCAGCAGCTGCCAATACAGCTGGTCAAGCCTTCTCATAATGATAGCAGTAAGGTATATCTGACCACATCTCTTGGATAAATGTAGGACATTGGCACTTTGATTACTGGTAAGATTAAAATGGCATGTATGATGGCAGAATCCAAGCATTTACTCACCTGTGGCTAGCAAAGTGGTCAGGCTGCAACTGAAGAGTACAAATTTCCCACAGTCTAAAACTAGGGGACATGCATTTAAGGTGAGAGGGGGTAAGATCAAAGGAAACATGAGGAGCAAGTTTTTTTAAAACACGCTGCCGGGGTGGTGGTGGTGGTGGAGGCAGATACAATAGGAGCAGATAAGGGACTTTTAGATAAGCACATGAATATGAAAGGAATGGAGGGATATGGACCAATGGCACACAGAAGGGATTAGTTTAGTTTGGTGTCATGTTCTGCACAACATCATGGGCCAAATGGTCCGCTCCTGCGCTGTACAGTTCTGTGCTGATAGTTTTCATTGATGAAGAAACGCCAAAAGGCAGAGAGGAATTTAGAAAACCTGCAGTTACCCCTAGATAAGTCAATCTTGCTTGACAGCTCCAAGTGATTTCAATCCAATCTGACAGAGACCAAGCCACTTCCAGCAGGAGTTCCTTTGTTGATAGTCTCATACCCAAAATGTAGATGAAAGTCTTTAGCCACCTTTTATCCTTTGGCTGCACTGATGCCAAGGTACAATCAGCCATGATCAGATTGAATAGCAAAGCAGACTGAAGAGGCTAAATTGCCTACTCCTGCTCCTTGTTCCTCACTCTTTTATTCTGCTCCCCTTGATTGATTTATGTGCATGATCTACCTCTGATTATCTATTGATTTAACATGTGATCAATCTTCGAATGGTTCAATTAAAGCTATACTTAGCCCAGGGTACCATGTAGCTTTTTTCTCACAATTGCCCTGCAATCATTTAACCACACAGTGTTCGGTAACCTTGCTTTTTGCTTATTTCAACATTAATGTTCCTCACAGGTAGTTGTGCAACCATCTCTGAGTCTTGAGTTATCACCATAGATTCATAGAAATCTTCAGCACAGAAAAGAGCCTTTCAGCTCATCTTGTGCACACAGATTGAAAACAACAACAGAACTGTTCTAATTTCATTGTTCAACATTTAGCTTATAGCCTTCTATGTCTTGGCATCACAAGAACAGATCTAAACACATCTTAAATCTTATGAGGGTTTCTGTTGCTACCGCCTTTACAAGCAATGAGTTCCAGATTCCTAACACCTTCTGGGTGAAAACACTTTTCCTCACATTCCCTCTGAACATTTTGCCATCATAAATTGTTTAACAATAACAGCTGTCATGGTTCGTTAGAAAGGGCAGCCACATCTCCTGGAAACTCTAACACGTTCCGAGAATTGTCAACACAATTCATCACGCATACACAGCAAATTCAGCTCAATGTTTGAGCCTGTTTTCACTCAGTTTGGACATCAACAGAGTGTAAATTCGTATATCCTGGGTTTGTTGTAACAGATTGCTGAAGCACTGGAAAATTTGGCTCAAATTAACCAAGAGAGAGCTCATCCTGATGCCCCACAGAAGTTTCTGCAGCTCATTCAGCTCCTACGTTCCGCAAGTTTGGAAAGCCTCCAAAACATCTGGGGAAAGAGCATACCCAAACCCCACCAAAGGTAAATAAAGAAGGGGAAGTGAGGGTGCGTGTGGTTGCTCAAGGCAGTTTCAGCCTCCAGGCACAGTTTGGTTTCTTTCCTACACCCTTTCAGGTGGCCCTGTAAGTTCAGAAGGAGAATCTTATCTCCTTATCTGGAGAATTCCCGTTTCCTGTCTCACCCGTGACTGGAAAAAAACAAACCAAGGGAAGTGAGGTGCCTTTACCTCAGCATGGGGGCAATGTGGCTCATGCCGGCTGAGGGGGTGTGGAGGGCTGATAATGAGGGATAATAGTGGTAGTGAAGCATGATGGTAAGGATAGTGAAGGTGTAGTGAGATATGGTAGAGGCATGGTGGTGAGGAAGGTTGTGGTGTGAAGGGGTGGTAGGGTGTAAGGGATGGTTGTGAGGGATGTGAAGGGGTGGTAGTGGGGCAGGTATATGGTGTGGTAGTGGTGCAGGTATATGGGGTGGTACTGGGGCCAGTATATGGAGTGGTATTGGGGCAAGTGTACATGTTGGTAGTGGGGCAGGTAAATGGGGTGGTATTGGGGCAAGTATATGGGTTGGTAATGGAGCAGGTATATGGGGTGGTAGTGGGCAGATATATGGAGTTGTATTGGGGCAGGTATATGGGTTGGTCATGGGGCAGATATATGGGTTGGTAATGGAGCAGGTATATGGGGTGGTAGTGGGGCAGGTATATGGAGTTGTATTGGGGCAGGTATATGGGTTGGTCATGGGGCAGGTGTATGGGGTGGTACTGGGGCAGGTGTATGGGGTGGTACTGGGGCA